ATACTTCTAACGCACAGCCTCTGCAACCATCAAACCTGTCTCTGTGCGTGACCACGCCCCCCGCGCAGAGGTTATTTAACCGTTGTCGCGTTCCTCAAAAAAATCCTGACTACACGTCGGATCGTCGCAAACCCGCACAGACCTCAAGCAGAAGGGCGAAAACAAAAAGCAGGTGGGCTTGGTCCTTGGTATGCCTTTCCGGCTGTCTGTGTGGTCGTCCTTCTCGATTTGGTGCTGGGGCACGCCATTTTAAAAAAATCGAGGAGTGATAACAACAACGGATAACCGCGAAAAAAGGTTGATCGAGGAGGTTCGGAAGTACAACTACTTGTACGTAGGGTTGTCAAAAGTATCGATACTCAAAAAAGTATCGATACTGAAATGTTGTATCCGGATACAATACTCGTTTTTAAAAGTATTGATACAGTGCCACCACCAGTGGCACCTAAGCAAGGAAGGAACACTTAATTTTAATTTTATAGGTTTTTTTATCAAGCTTGATTGATATTCTGCACAGCATACAACCTTTATTATTTATTTATTGTATTTTATTTATTAATGAAAATATTTCTGTAGACTTTTGGAGTCTTTGTTTTTATCCTTGTGATATTGAAAATGGTATCGAGTATCGAATATTTTCCTTAGTATCGGTATCGAGTTGAAAAGTTTAGTATCGTGACAACCCTACTTGTACGATGCCTCAGACATGTTGTGTTGGAAAATAAAAACTCCCACCGGCGCCGCCGAAGAAGTTCTCGTCACCATCCGCCGAAGTTCTCGTGAGTTCTCGAATAGGCTCCCCCTGCTGTGCGCCCCTAGAAATTCCAGAACGACGTTGCAGAAGCATAGCAGCGAAACTGGTTTGCGACCAGATGCAAGCGACATTTGATGTGTGCAGATGCAGAAGTATAATCCGCCCTTAATGGTACCGCTGGAATCTGATTTACAGCTTAAATTCTGCTATATTATAGGAAAGGAGACTGTTTTCCAGGGTAAATCTGGACTGATAAAAAAAAAAAAAAAAAAAACAATCCACTGGACTTTGTTTCCAAGTTTGAAGACATTTCGCTTCCCATCCAAGAAGTCTCAAACTCAACGCTATTTCTGACACTTTAAATTGAAAAAGGTTCCTGGATGGGAATCCAAACGTCTTCAAACTTGGAAACAAAGTCCAGTGGATTGTTTTTTAACTTTTTTGTTTTAATGACTATGATCTGGATGACTGAGAATCTTCACCAGTATCTGGACTGATTGTACAAAAAGCTGTAAGTAAGCTGTTTTTCCACTAAACAGGAGTTTTTTACAACATCATTAGAAACAGATGAAGCTAGTGTTTGTATATATCTGTCTATACCAATATATATCTGAAGCTAGCATCTAAAAATTAACTTTTTTATTTTATTTATTTATTTATTTTTATTAATGTAATACAACATTATAGTCCAGAGGTCACGTATAAGCAGACCGGGATCCGGATCCGGACCCACCTGCTGGCTAATCAGGACCCAACCTGATTTAAAACATTTATAAATTAGCGCATGTTGTTTGACGACAGTGTCTGAATTTACTTGCACCGCTTCTCCTGTTAATACGGTAAAGCCCTCCGGAGCGTCCGGCTCCAGGCTGCACGTGATCCTAATTATCCAATGAGCTGTCAGTCTGGGTTGCTGCTGCTGCTACTTTTAGACACAGCAGGCAAACCTGTGGCAAGCCGGGCGATGGGAAAGAAGGAGAAGACCATGAGAAAAAGAGAGCAGAGAAAGTGTGGACTGCTGGAAGAACTGCGGTGAACTGGTGAAAGAAAAGTGAAATGGCGTGCTCAAAGATGACCCTGCACATTTAGAGGATGTTTGGTTCAACCTGCTGCTGTGAAGCAGGATTCTCCACCATGAACAGAATCAAAAATAAATCTGGATCCAGGCTCAGAATGAGCACCTTGACATGTGCTTGAGAATGGCTTAGTCTCCATTTAAACCCAGGTTTAAAGCCTTGCAGGGCAGCCTAAAGCCCACTGCCAACATTAAGACAGAAAAAAGTAAGTAAAAATTACAAATGGTCCAGTGTATTCTCATTATCAGTTCGTATAAAATCGTACGAAAAGTTATGCACAGTATTTCGTACGTTTTTGATGTTTTTTTCGTCGTATTTCGTCGTATTTTTACGTCTTGCCTCGAGACAAGATATCCTTGCGCATGCGCATCTTACGCACCATTCAATAACATAGAATTTAACATACAATTAACCCTAACCCTAAGATACAAAACAGCAAGCAACCCAGTGAGAGACTTCGAGAATTAATTATTGCACTGTTTTTCCCAGTTTTATGTCCGTCCGCGGATCTGCTTTTTTCGTCTGTCTGGCTGCGCATGCGCACTGATCTGTATTTTGAGGAAAAACGTCAAAAACGTACGAAATACTGTGCATAACTTTTCATACGATTTCAAACGAACTGATAATGAGAATATGTTGAATAGTCAGTTCAGGTGTTTTATAAAATATGTGAATCTTGAAATTGTCTATATACCAAACTATACGATTGCTGTTTTCTACTTCAAAAATCACTTTTGATCTTAAAATGGAAAAATGTTCTATTTTTTTATTTAAAAAGTCAGGGTATAACACAAATGTAAAAACACCTCATTTTATTTCAATGCTAAATTTAGTTTAAAGTAATGGATTCTAATTTTAAAAAGTCTCTGGACCTTTACTGGTTGATGCTTTTCTTTATTCGGACCCCTCTCATTTTCAATTGGTTACCCCTGCTATAGTCAATGTTTTTGTTCTGCTAATAATTTTCTGAAAGTTTAAATAATGGTTAAAAAATGCAGCTTTTTGCAGAGTTTGCTTTGTTGGGGAAGTGGCTGTTTGTGGCTCTGTTATGGGAAGGGGTGCGAAGAAGGAGGGGCGCCGCTGCAGCTTTATCTGCCTCTGCTGACGGCAATGCAACATAAAGGGTGGCCATTGTTTGGCTTCTAAACATGAATCAAAGCAAACAGTTATGTATTTATAAAACTATAGTGCATTTCTGAAACATTCTTAAGGCTTTATTGAAACTAATGTACGATTCTACATGACAGCATCTTTTTTTATTTTGTTAGCTTTGTATAATCTAATTGATTAATTATTCTGTTTCTATTTTCACCTGCAACCTGTTAGTAAACCTGCAACTTGATTTATATTGTTTCAAATGTAAGGATCTTTACATTTCATATGCAAAGTAGTGTTTCTGATGTTGACTAATTGCCCTTGGATGGTATCTTCAATATAACACCATATGACACTCAGAGTAATACTATTCTGTATTTTTTTTTACATATTTATGATAGTGAATTACAGCTAATTCTGTTTTTCTTAAAATGTATTTTAAAAACAAAACTGTAAAATAGGGATTTCAATCAAAATCTTCAACTATGATCATGGCTTATAGTTCATGGGAAAGCACTATCAACTTCAAAGCAAACCAGCAGACATCATAAACCACAAACAATCATCGCTTAGGAAACTGGGGGTTCAGAAAGCTGTATCCAAGTACTCTTAAAAAAAGTTTAGTGGAAGGAAAAAGTGTTGCTCAAAACTGCAGCAATTGCTTCAGCCTAATTGTAAAGCAAAAGCATCTTTAGATCTTTAAAGAGACATTAATTCCTGGACGAGGCCGCCTTTTACAGTTGCCTTTTGTATCTCTGCTTGTGTCTCCTTTAACCCCACACTGGAAAAACGATTTAGAAATAATTAGAAATTTCTTAAATTAAGGGTATTTTCCCTTAATTTGAGCAGGTAAATGAGATGATTTGCCAATGGTATGACTATTTTTACTCTTGAAATAAGATATTGAGATAATATGCACTTGAAATAAGACAATGCAATTGCGTTTTCTTATTTCAAACGTACTTTGTCTTTTTCCATTGGCTAAATGCCCCTTTAACCTTCTCAATTCAAGAACAAATGCACTCATTTTAAGAAAAAAATGACTTATCTAAATTTTTATTTTATTCAGTGCAGTCGGCCTCAGCAGATGGCTGCTCACACTGAGCCTGGTTCTGCTGGAGGTTTCTTCCTGTTAAAATAGAGTTTTTCCTCTCCACTGTCGCTACAAGCATTATTAGTGTGAGGGATTGCCTTTGAGTCAACGAGTCGATGCAATAAACTGGTTTTCCTTAGATAAAACTGTGAATCAAGTTGACTGCAGGATCTGGTGAAATGTAAAGTGCCTTAAGATGACATGTGTTGTGATTTGGCGCTATATTAATAAAATGAATTAAGTTGAATAAAATGTAGATGCAGAACATGCTGCAAGAGCAAAACCCACCAGACAAACATCAGAAGTTTCCTGCCTGTGCAGAGGGAAGAGAGAACTAGATTGTTGCTTAGTAAAGTTCCTGCTGATGAGCTTTACTAAGATGCTGCACTGCAAAAATGATCTAGAAATAAGTAAACATTTCCTCAATTCATCCTTGTTTACCCCTAATTTGAGTATTTTTACTCTTAAAATAAGATAATCAGATAATATGCACTTGAAATAAGACAATGTAATTGTTTTTCTTGTTTTAAATGTAAATTGTCTTGTTCCATTGGCACAGTGTCTCCATTGCTTTCTTAATTCCAGAAAAATGCACTTATTTGAAGAAAAAAAAGACTTATTTAGATTTAAATTTCTTGCAGTGTGATTTTCCTTCCAACAGGACTGGTACCTGCCTAAACTGCCAAAACTACAGCTTTGATGAACATTACTGTGCTTGACTTGTCAGCTAACTCTCCCTACCTGTTACACATCACTGAGGCAGTAATCCATGCAAAAGTTCTCCTAAGTAACCGCTGAGCAAATAAACTGTACAATGCAAGGAAAGATGGCTATTATTTAGCCTCCTTTTTTCTCCATTAGTTGTATGTAAAGCTTTTCTAGATCAGCTGTAATTCAAACATCAAATCTTTTCATTTCTTTTTATTCCATTCATTATTGTTCTTATAGAGGATAAGATTATGAGGCTGTTGCTGCTTCATACCGTGAGAGCGGAGAACTTCTGAGCGCGTCCTGTGCACATCAGGCAGAGGAGAGCCAGAAGCGGCCAGACGCGCATCCTGACGCAGCGCAACGATCAACTCTCTGCACAATTACGCACGGTCCAAAATCCTCTGCGCTCCACCGCAGTACGAGACAAAAAAAATGGACGGAAAGAAAAGCGATCAAAAAAGGCCAAACATCCACTCTGCCTCTTTGGGAAAGTACCTGCGTTGAACAGACACGCACTGATGGTTTGTTTCGCTCCGTTTCCTTGCTTTCTTCTGCCAAACCGCTTCTGGAGAATCTCTCCTTATTTCTGCCAGGGTAATAAACCCCCCCGCAGCCCTGACCTTTCCCCTCCCCTGGTGTCTTCCCTCTCTCTCTCTCTCTTTTCTCCTTTTTCAGAGTCAGCTTCCACACCCCTTTCCCTCCATACTTGATTCTGTGGAGGAGATTCCTTATCGGGATGCAGGCAGCTGCGCAGCCGGTGGGCAGGTTGGAGGTAGGTGGGTTTGCTGCTGGTAGGCGCGTCAAACACGTCAGGTATCCTCTCCTCTGCTTTCATCCCACTCATCCAAAAATGCACTGAACAAAATTATGCAACCGCTTTTAGCATTTATTTAATCATATTTAGTTACTTTAACAGAATTGTTTTATGTCCTTCCCTGCTGACATCAAATAATTATGTTAAAGTAACTAAATAGGATTAAATAAATGCTAAAAAAGGGTGCATTTTTTTTCAGTGTGCATTTTCACTAAGACTCTCTTATAAGGTTTAGTTGATTAAATATAATTATAGTTTTTAGACAGAAGAGACAAAAAAAAACAAACCTCACCATTCATTGTCTGAATTGTATCCGTTGGAATCTCAGTTTACATTAATTCTCCCAAAAGGAAGCTGCTCTGTTCAAATGTTTACAAAATATATAGAAAAGTTATCCAAAAAAAACTAAAGCAAAAAAAAAAAAAAAAAAAAAACATACAATCTATCGAATGTTTTCTGATGATTTATCTGATCTGATCCAGACCAGATTTTATCCAGGATTTGTTTCATGCAAGTAATGTTAAATATTCAGGTGGAAACAAAAAGTAAAAATAATAAAGTAGAAAAACTGAACATATCCTCATTTAGCCAAGCATCTCAAGACACCAACCTGCTGCTGTAGCGCCACCTACCGGCCATTTTGAGGAGTGGCTGACAAAGCCAATACAAAAAGAACTTTTATTGTCATTTATATATATATATATATATATATATATATATATATACACATATATCTATATATATGCATTTTTTGCACCATGTTTTTTATCCTATACTGTTTACATTCAATCACTGCTGCACTTTATCGAATAGAAATGTTCATTTACTTTTTGAAAAGATGTACTAAACGAAATTTCATATTGTATACACCCTATGTACACAAAATGACTTTAAAAGTTGTCTAAGTTTAGACCCCCAGAATTAAAGCTTGACTGTGTAATTCTAAACAGTTTTTCCTCGTCCAACATACTAATACATTAGGATTTTTTTTTAATTATTTAATTTGTAAAGTCTGCTGAATTATAGTTTGATAACACATATTTATTAAGAAATACATGCATCTAAAATTATAGAGCTGTGCCAATAAGTGATCTACAAATCTAATAAATCCTTACATATTAAAATTGTTTGAATTACTTATCTGTTGTAGGCTATCCATAAACAACTATTTAGGTATATAGAGTCATTGACACAAAGTGAAGATGGCAACAGCAGACCAATCAACCTGACTGAGATAGCATGTAGGCCTACAGCCACTGCAACACAAAACCTAACATATAGCTTTTAAAATATAGTAAGAAAATGTTACTTGTAATAAATCATGTATTTAATGCATTATTTAAATATTGACAAAAATTATACAAGACATTATTAACTTTAATTCAGTTTATACAAAGCCATCCCAAACCTTTTTTTTTTAATAATTAGAAACGTTATGAAAAACATGCTCATTCAGATTGAAAATGTTCAGAGAACCATTTTTCCCACAGCTATCAGTGGTCTAAAACAAACGCTATGAGGCTTTGAAGGATGGATATTGAAAACTGATCTCTATTTGTTCACTGGATTGCTGATAGCTCGAAAAAAAGTGAAGCCACCGGCCGCCATATTGGTACTCCCAACTCAAAACATCAAAACAAGCAGTTTTCCACCTGTGAAAAGACGTTTCACATGAAATTTCACAGTCAGTGGATGAACTAACCAACAAAATCCATATATAGGCGGATGTATCCCATATTATAGTATGTAGGGTAACCTTAATCTGGCTATCTCGGACTGACTGGAAGATATTTTGACATTGTGTCTAATGCTAGAGAATAGAAAATAGATTAAATAGCAAGTAATAACTGTGAAATGTCAATGTAGTCATTTTTAATTCAATGGACGATGCTGTCGTTTTTGTAGTGTTTGGTATATTTCTCATCTGTAAAAGTCATGTGCTGAAACATATTGCATGTTATGTTGACGAAAAAAAGCAACTCAAACATTCTCTAAAGCCACAGCATAAAAAGTATATGGCATCACGCATGCACAATTTGCAAATAGGAAAATATTGCATTATTAACAGACACGTACTAGTAGTTCAGTCTTGATGTAAAAAAAAAATGATGTCAGTACATGTCTATTATATGTACATCATCAATTTAGCACTTTTGGCACATCAGTATTATTGTGCTCCATTAATACATGAATTTTGTTGTAATCGATTTTGTATAATATTTTATATTACATGATTTATAGACTTCATTAGCTTCATACTGACTATGCAATGTTATGTGCCTGTTTTTGTCACAAGTTACGGTAATCTACTGATGCTGTGAAACAGCCATTGTGTGTCAAAGTGATGAATTTATCTTTATTTTAAAAGTCTTAAGCAGAGGCGTAGCGAGAACATTTTTATAAGGATGGCTAGGCAATAACCAGTGTACGCTGAAGGGTGGCCAAAAGCGGATAAGCACCAGAACCTTAGGGTCAATCTATGCTGATCCAACAGGAAAATTAACAACCTCAACATCAATATTTTTCCAAATAAAGACAAACTTTACTTTCCTACAGCCTTTTCTAAAAAATAGACGCATATACAGTATTTAAACATCCATCTACATAAAAGGTATAGTGGATAAAGTTCTTTCAGGTTTGAGTTCTGGGTGGAACATCTTTTGCATTGTCATTACTTACCTACTTTTATCAATAATCATTCTGCATAAAATTGATATTCACAAGTACTAATATCTACAAAAAATGTTTATTTACTAAGTTTTTATTAGAATAGCTATTTACTTATTATGTAACTGAAGACTGGCTTGCATTTTCTCTTTACCTCATATAACACAAAATCTAGTTCCGAAAATAGCATGAATTCTGTACTTGTCATCTTTAATGTTTAATGTTATTTTATTGATGTGTATAAATAAACACAGTATTTTTGTGGTCAAGTAATTGTTAATCTATGAAAAAATTAAAATGTTTTGAATATTAAGAATATTACTGCTGCCACTTTCAGTATTATTCAGTAGTATGGGGAATAAATGGTAGGGTGGCCACAGGCTCCGATCTAGCTACGCCCCTGGCCTGAGGTCTTGAAAAATGGGCAACCAGCAATCCAGTAAATAAATAGAGATCAGTGATATTGAGCTGTTTTAAAGAGTTTAATTGGCCTCAGCAGCAATCAGTGGCTATAATATCCAGAGAACTCGAGAACGGACTCCATTTCCCATAATGCTCCACGGCTCGGTTTCCTCCAAACGCAATGACACCTACTTCCGCTTCCTTCCGTCTCCGGCGCCTGCTGCGTGGTTTAGCGGCGTTAGCTAGTTGGGTCACGCTGTTGGCCTGCTTCTTTATTAATTTACTGCTTTGGTTTGATATACACCATAATGTCGTACCACGAAGAGGAAGAAGTAAGTATTGATGTTATTTTCAGCATACTTTAAAACCGTTTTTGTCGTTTTTTTGGACGTTTCAACATGCCGATTAGCACATAGCTTCAGTGCTAGCTCATTCAGCCATGCTAGCTAGCCGGAAAGTCGTTTATTATTTATTTATTAAGCAGTTTGTGTTAAATGTATTAAATGATTTGCTTTTAACACTGGTTTATGATGGTTGAATAGAGCAGTTTCCTTATTACTGTAATAAAATGACAGATTATATCACAGCATCAGAAAAATGGTCATATATTTAAAAAAAAACGTTTTTCCCCACAGTACGATCCTTACACCTACTCAAATGACTACGATCTGCACACAGGTAAATATACTTCTATTGCACATTATTTATGAGCACATGTTTTAAATGCCACGCAGCTTGTCAATTTAGGATTTAAGTCCATTGCAAAATATCAAACAAGGTTTTATCATTATGAGTACTGTGATCACAAATTTTAACTCACAGTATATATATATATATATATATATATATATATACATTGATTGCAATTAGGCATGCATTTGAGAAGATTATTTCAATTTTCATAGCTTAAAAACAATCCAAACACTTAAAACCATTAATTGTTATATAAAAAAAGGATTCTAAAAGGAATTTCTGGAACATTTAATTCAATGTAAGTATAATCAGCCAATTTGCAGCAATTTTAAATCTCCTAACTTCACACACATACCTATAAACTTTTAAAAGATCTGATTAGGTGTTATGATTCAGACCTGGTGCTGCAGAAGCAGCTGGTTTAGATGCAATGTCAAATGTTGACACATCAAGGCGCAGCAAAAGGTCCTGCAGCACGTTTTGAACAGAAGGAGCAGCTCATGAGCTTCTGACGCTCTTGAGGTGCTTCAAAAGTAGCAGCTGCTGGAGTTGGAGAAATTTAACTTTCCTGATCGACACGCCTCATCAACCAATCAGAGAAGCTGATCTGGGAGCTGAAAGGGAGACAGAGGCTACGTTCAGACTGCAGGCCTTGATGCTCAATTCCGATTTTTTTGTGAAATCCTATTTTCTTTGTGTTGCCGTTCACGTTTCCAAATATATGCGACTTGTGTGTGATCTCCTGTGTGAATTGCCTTGATACAACCTAGGTGTCCTGCATGCACAGTAAAGGACGTAATGACATCACAGGCCAGCGTGTTCTGTGTTTACGGAAGTAAACATGGATGGTAGTGCCGGGGAACATCTAGTGAACTTTCCCAACCGTAAAAACACAATCTTTTCAAGATGGTTAAACATAAATACTGCATCACTTTCCGGCGTGGTTGTTTTTCTTGCTGCTTCTTCATAGCAAGACCCAGAATATTGATCTTTGTCGGGTATTAATGGTGTTCAGGTCGGATGAATGCAACCTGGCTGTTCAGAC